CACACACACAAAAAAAAAACTTAAAAACAAAAACAAGATGCTTCAAAAAGTCAGGAGAGAGCATGATGGATTCCGACTTCCAAACTCTACTTATTGCACCAGGTTTCTCTATATTCCATATCAGATGTTACTAGCTCAGGAGAGCGTCTCCCCAGAGACGTGGAGGCGTCCGTCGAAGCGCTGGCCGGCCTTTGCCTGGGAGGCCAAGCGTTTCAGGCACTGGTGGGCATAGACTCCGAAGGAGTCGTCGTTGGTTTCGGGGCCAAGGATGAGCAGCTGCAGGTTGGGGTAGGAGGCCAACATCCACTCCGCGCAATCGGCGATGAGATCCACGCCCTTCTGCTTCACCCACCGGCCGAGGAAGACAAGGAGCCGTGCGTCGTCGTTGATTCGGAGGCCGAAGCGCTCCTGCGCCGCCCGCTTGGCATCACGCTTGGTCGCCCACAGCGGCTGATGCTGATTGTACAGCTCCTCGTTCCTGTGGTCCCTGTCCTGCAGATTCAGGGTTTCTCCTGGTTGGGGGTGATTATGTAAAATCTCAGGGTTCAGGGCTCAGGGCTCAGGGAGCCGGGCTTAGGCTTTAGCGTCCCGGTTTTTGATGGTCCTTGGGGTTGTTGATGCCTCTGATCTCCCCGAGGCCCCAGAACATCTGGTGCCGCAGCTGTGCCTCCTCAGCGTAGCGAGGGGACACGGAGGCAAGACCCCGGCCACGCTGGGCCATGGCCACGTAGCGTGCGCCTGCATACAGCATGTTGAAGCTGCCGTCGTAAACCATGTGCTCCTCAAGGAAGGCCAGGCGTGAAGTCAATGATGTCTTGGGTCTTGGGCTTTTTGGTTCAGAGGTTGGGTCTAGGCTCTAAGGGACGCAACAGGTTTGCAGGAAGCTGCCATCGATGTCGGCGTTATGGGGCTTGGGATTTGGGGTTTCGAGTCGAGAGCTTCTTCAAGCTTGGGGCTTGTAGCTTTCTTTGGGGCCTAGTGCCTCGGGCCCCGAGGGCTTAGGCGCCCGTAGGT